TAGAATCTCAAGAATATCTTTTGTTTGCAAGGGTTGACGCCCGATGATTGGTTTGCCAAACTTCCGCCAACTCCCCCACAAATCGGTTCTGACGGCCCTCTGTGTTTCGACCAATCACGATGCGTCGCGCAACATTTGTGGCATGCGTGTGGCGCGGAACCCTAACCAAGCAGCGAAGATTCTTATGCCTTAGCTAACTGGCCGTAGATTTCCAGCACTGTTCATCACATTATACGGGACAACCACGGGAACGCCCAGAACATGGGAGCGTGAACGTGTGAACACTGAGGAGAGGACCTATGCCAGCCATAACCGAAGTAAACATGCCCCTTTCACAGTGCGTGTAGAAGGGCACATACATGATAGCCTGACGCGTGGAATTGCTAGCCCCGAACAGCACAGTTCCACCTCGTCAGCGAGGTGTTTGATTGGCCGAAAGGCCGTTAAAGGGGGCTGTATCTGCCTAGTCAGCAGGTTAAACCACACTGACCATTGCCAAAGCCCCGACAAGTGGGGGCGCTTTGGCGAATCCTGATCCCTCATGCGATCGCGAAACTTGTTTGGACCAGGCTGGCTCGAAACCCTTTAGTGAAATTTGACGACTAGTGTAACAACCTTCGCGGCTGCTCTTAACTCATAGTGTCGTGACTGCAGAAGCCCAAATTCCAGTTCGGTGCTCGTCCCCAAAATTATCCCTAGTGCCACACGCATCTTGAGGTCGTCAAAGTCCTAGCCATGGCTCTACCGTGTTTAGATGGTAAGCTGGCCTTTCAGCCGATTTCTATGCCCTATCCCTACGGTGGAGGCTAGCTCGACATAAACGTGGAACACGCCGACAGGCTACGACCCAGTGAATGGGTCAGCGGGATCGTAATTGATTGGCTCGGTGTGTGAGAATCATGGTTAGGAAATCATAAGGCCAGATTCGTCACGGTTATCTCATGCGTTTCCTTTGTCGCAAATACGCGCGTGCGCAGGATGCTGCAGTACGAACACGGTCGCGGCCGCAACAAATGGCTTTACTGTGGATCATATTTCTGGGAATATGCTAAGAAGGACATTTCGCGGCGTGAAAACGCCTATACTTTCGGCCTGGGTATTTTCGATTTCACATATGTACTCGTTCCGATAAATACCGAGTGAGTAGTCGTCGCGTCTAGCCGTAGCACCATATGTATTTCGGTAGTCTAACGTCGGCGTTACTGATGTTAGACCTCATGTGTGCCTTAGGAGTCACTGGAGCCTGATCATGATCGAGCGCATCCCGAGGCCCGACGACCCGATTCCCATGATCTGTGTGCTCTGGCACGCTGACTCGTACGGAACGCATGCCGGTGTCGACGCCCCGTTGCGAAGGTACTCTCTTTTTAATGGCAGATTGCTATTGTTACGTACAGAAGTTCGGGGTTACGATAGCATTGAATCTATGTCTCCCGGTGTGCAGGTACTTGCAAAACGAGGTGATAAGATACTGTGCATGGATCAGTGAGTCGGACGCAGATGCATGGGCGGTGAGCATCCCACTAAGGCAGGTCACGGTGAGTGCTGTTGCCTTGTGTGTACGAGCTTTGAAACAATCACATCTCCCTTTCCCTGCATGCAATTTCCACACCGAAACCCCACTCCCGTCCCGGCCCTCACCACGCGCTCACGCACCCTATGATTGTTCGGATACCCATGCAGGCAAATGAGAACGACTGTGGTGTGTTCACAATGCGTGTGATGCACACGTTGGTCGAGGATGGTTTCCATAAACTACCGGCGTGTGAGCTTGTAGGGACGCCACTCCATTGGCGCCGTCAGTACCGTCACGATTTGAGGAAGCGGTCTGTGTATTTTCGGGCAAAACCAATGTTGGAGGTTGGAGGTGGGGCATGCGGCGGTGAAAAGCTGGTAATGGGGCGGGTAGCAAGCGAGAATGAGGCGGGAAGCATGGGGGAATGAGGCCCGAAGCAAGGGGGAATGGGGCCTGAAGCAAGGGAGAATGAGGCGGGTAGCAGTGAAGAATGGGGTGGGAAGCAAGGGGAAATGGGGTGGGTAGCAGGGGGGAATGAGGCCGGAAGCGAGGGGACATGAGGCGGGAAGCAGAGGGAATGAGGGGGATCGCAAGGGAGAATGAGGCGGGAAGCAAGGGGGACGCGGCTCTGAAGCAAGGGGGAATGAGGGAGGTAGCAAGGGAGTATGAGGCCCGAAGCAAGGGGGAATGAGGCCTGAAGCAAGGGGGAATGGGGAGGGTAGCAAGGGAGAATGAGGAGGGTAGCAGTGAAGAATGGGGTGGGAAGCAAGGGGGAATGGGGTGGGTAGCAAGGGGGGATGAGGCCGGAAGCGAGGGGACATGAGGCGGGAAGCAAAGGGGAATGAGGGGGGTAGCAAGGGAGAATGAGGCGGGAAGCAAGGGGGATTGGGGCCTGAAGCAAGGGGGAATGAGAGAGGTAGCAAGGGAGTATGAGGCCCGAAGCAAGGGGGAATGAGGCCTGAAGCAAGGGAGAATGAGGCCTGAAGCAAGGGGGGATGGGGAGGGTATCAAGGGAGAATGAGGAGGGTAGCAGTGAAGAATGGGGTGGGAAGCAAGGGGGAATGGGGTGGGTAGCAGGGGGGAATGAGGCCGGAAGCGAGGGGACATGAGGCGGGAAGCAGAGGGAATGAGGGGGGTAGCAAGGGAGAATGAGGCGGGAAGCAAGGGGGGACGCGGCTCTGAAGCAAGGGGGAATGAGGGAGGTAGCAAGGGAGTATGAGGCCCGAAGTAAGGGGGGATGAGGCCTGAAGCAAGGGGGAATGGGGAGGGTATCAAGGGAGAATGAGGAGGGTCGTAGTGAAGAATGGTGTGGGAAGCAAGGGGGAATGGGGTGGGTAGCAAGGGGGGATGAGGCCGGAAGCAAGGGGACATGAGGCGGGAAGCAGAGGTAATGAGGCGGGAAGCAGGAGGGAGTGAGGCGGGTACATGGGAGGAATAAGTGTGTGAGTGAAGAACAAGGAAGCGGGTAGCATGGGGGAATGAGGACAAGATCAATAGGGAATTGTTTGTTCATCTGTCCTGCCAGCTTGATATGCCAACAAACATGACACAAAGCGCAATGGAGAGGCCTTGAATCAGTCCTGCATGACTTGACAACAAGTGTGGCCAAATGAGAGTGTTGGCCACAACCAGTCCTCCATGTCTAGAGAACACTACCCGTAGGGAAGTGTTTGTCACTGGCGTTCCTGCTTGACATGTATACAAACAATACACAACGGGTCAGTGTGATGCTGCAAAACATACCTGCATGTCCCCACAACTCTAGTGGGTAGAACAGCAGGGGTTTCTCAACTCCGTTCGAGCATGAACCTAGAACATACAACACAGCATGCTCTTGGGTCCCTGCATAAAGGTTGCCCTGTATGGCATGAGAGCAGCCATGACCCGTACGGGGAGTTTGTGTCTAGCTCTATTATTATTGCACCTCAATTGGCATGAGAGGAGACATGCCCATACGCGTTGCATAACGACCAGGCGACAATCAAATAATGCATACTTACTAATCAATCGATGTATCAGAATGACTGCTCCACCACAGACCGTTATGTGCATGTTCTGTGAAGGTGGTGTTTGGTTTTACACTGTTATGTTGCATACTTGTCACTATGCTAATGGGTTAGGGGGACTCCTGTTACGAGTGCAATTGAGTGAGCGAACGAGGATTGCACTATCGGGAAAAAAGTACAACTGAGCGAAGGTATGAGCGAAAGGTTATATAGCGAAACCACAGTGGTAACGGTAATGGACTGTGGTTGTCGTGCGACGGGCCTGGGACTGAGGTTGGGAAAATGTCGAGGCGAAGGTCCGGAGCGCGGGTTACCGCCGAGCCGTGAGGTCGGGGTGCGACGTGCGAAAGTGGCGGGCGGATTGTCGATGCGAGTGGTAACGGTGCTGACTGAGGTGCTACAGTGATGTACGCGTTGAGCAAGGATGCGAAGTAAGGAAAACGAGATTTTCCTTACAACTCCATAACCCTCTAATACACCTCAACGAGTTAGGTCCCACAGAATCTTAACACGGCAGTGCTGCATTTTTTTCCTTTATACACCTCAACCACCAGGCGATTGGTTGTTGGCGGAAAAGGGGGACCTGGCAGTCGCAACGTGCACCATAGCAGGAAACACTCAAACCCTCATCACCGCCGTGCTCCCCTTGCATGCCTCCAGCTGTGACGATCGTCTGCTCTAGGCCCCAGACTTTGCCTCGTCCCTCTCCCTCCTCAACCAGTTTTTTATGCTCCTAGACTGCTGTCAGGTTCTTTGCGGTAGCACAACCCGCAACCTCATAGTACTGCGTGAATGGAAAGCTAGACACCGTAACAAGGAAGTCAGACAATGAAGGGGCCCGAGGGGGCGATCGTACTGGCTGATTCGACTAAAACCCCCGACGAGACAAATTTTGCGGAGTTAGTAACACCAGATAAGACGGCCGAGATCGTAAACGAGTATCGCAAAAATAATGCGTCGACGGCGCGAGATGTTGTTGATTCCAGACGTGTCTCGTCATCCGGTGACGACTCGAATAGCGACTGCGATGTTGAGCCATACGCAAACAAGGGCATATCATCCCCTTCGAAACCAAGGGATAAGCGCGTGAAGCGCTTAGATGATCTCGTTCCCAAAGGCGGCCAGAAAGGTACGTGTTTATGGTCGCAGATGCGGAATATTCTACTTGTATGCATGAAACGATGCTTGTAGTCGTGTCTGACCTGTTGGAGGTTATCGTCTCTCCAATTGTGTTTCCACATCAGCGTCAGCGGACAAGCGTGACAACCGGGGGGGGCGTAAGCACCGTCCAAGAAAAAGAGGCACTCGTTCACATCGTGAGGAAACGCCTGCGTCTGAAGGCGACGAGGAGGGCAAAGACGGAGGACCTGACAGCTTAGGTACGCTGTGGGTGTGATATCGACGGTTTATATTTTGCACGTTACTCATTACAATGACGCCGCATGTCATGCTGCAACTTCCAGCCAATAAGATAATGTATGCACAGTATTTCTTATGTACCTCTAATGTCCGCCTTCGCAGATGGGACGGCAGGCCAACGCGCTCGTGGTGGCGGAAAGCGCAACGGCGGCAGGGCTGCCGCGGCCAAGGGCGGTCCCTCGGGCAGGCAGTTGCAGGATGCGGATGGAGGCGACGAGGGGGATCATGCCGAGCCGGAAGCTCGTGGTGGCGGAAAGCGCAACGGCGGCAGGGCTGCCGCGGCCAAGGGTGGTCCCTCGGGCTTGCAGGATGCAAAAGGGGGCGACGAGGGGGATCATGCCGAGCCGGTCACTACCCGTGGTGGCGGAAAGCGCAACGGCAGCAGGGCTGCCGCGGCTAAGGCCGATCCCTTGGGCAGGCCGGCGCAGGATGCGGATGGAGGCGACGGGGGGGATCATACCGAGCCGGAAGCTCGTGGTGGCGGAAAGCGCACCGGCGGCAGGGCTACCGCGACCAAGGGCGGTCCCTCGGGCTCGCAGGATGCGGATGGTGGCGACGAGAAGGATCATGCCGAGCCGGAAGCTCGTGGTGGCGGCATGCGCAACGGCGGCAGGGCTGCCGCGGCTAAGGGCGGTCCCTCGGGCAGGCAGTCGCAGGATGCGGATGGTGGCGACGAGAAGGATCATGCCGAGCTGGAAGCTCGTGGTGGCGGCATGCGCAACGGCGGCAGGGCTGCCGCGGCTAAGGCCGATCCCTCGGGCAGGCCGTCGCAGGATGCGGATGGAGGCGACGAGGGGGATCATGCCGAGCCGGAAGCTCGTGGTGGCGGCATGCGCAACGGCGGTAGGGCTACCGCGGCCAAGGGCGGTCCCTCGGGCTCGCAGGATGCGGATGGTGGCGACGAGAAGGATCATGCCGAGCCGGAAGCTCGTGGTAGCGGCATGCGCAACGGCGGCAGGGCTGCCGCGGCTAAGGGCGGTCCCTCGGGCAGGCAGTCGCAGGATGCGGATGGTGGCGACGAGAAGGATCATGTCGTGCTTGCATGCCGTGGCGTTAACGATCATGATGAGGACGAGCCAGCAGCAGTGACTGATGGGAAAGGTGGACGTGAAGCTGTGATTCCGTACCAACGGTGCAAGGCTGTGGATCCGGGCAGTTGCGACCATAAGGCGAGACAAGCTCGGCACGGCCCCAATGTGCACGTTTCGAGCTCGTCTGGTTCCAAGGAAGATTCGAGCGACAGTGAGTCGAGCAGCTCATCCGGGAGTGAGGAGGTATACGAGGACGAGGATGAGGAGGAGGAGGACGAGGATGATGAGGAGTTGGAGCCGGAGAGCGAGGATGGGGAGGAGGCTCGGCCTTTGAAGAGGAGGAGTGTGCGGAAGCTCAAGAAGGGCAACGCTAAGCAAAAATCGGTGAGGAGACGGGTGAAGAGCTGTAAACAGAGTGTGCGTCGTGCCAAACCACATGGCAAGCGCCAGAGACCTCGATTCGAAGCTAAAATTGTGGGTGTGCGTAGCAAGGCAAAGCGGGAGTTGAATTTTTACGAGTCCATGGGGATACGATGCCCATCAAGCTCTCATGATCGGCAAGCCGCGGACCCATACGCTGCGTTACGCGATCCGATGGGTTTGGCTGGGAAGGGAGATCCGATGGCTTGGGGGTCAGCGCGGTTTGGCAGGGAAGCGACGGACCCGCCCCCCAACCATATGGGGGGTTGCGCAGTTCATGTGAAAAACGAGGGGGCAACGAAGCGGCACGAACCCTCGGCAACTGCAGCAGCGAATGACGGTGTGGGAGGAGGTGTGTGGGCGAATGCCTTGGGTGAATGTGGCGGCGGTGTGGAAGGCTCCATGTGGGATGTACGGGAGAGCAGGGGAGAAGGGGGGGACGAGAAAATGGATCCGGCGACTAAGGAGGGGAGGGGAGAGAGCATGGGCACACCTGGCGCATCCAGTCGGCCGGATGTGGCTGGCGGCAGGACTGTGGAGCAGCTCATGCGAGAGCTTGCCCAGCGGGATCGCGAAATCGCTGCACTCAAGGCAAGGCCAGGATCAGAACGACCTGTCAAGCCCTGCACCCCTCCATCTAGGCCTCCTCCTCTAGCGTCTCTGTCAAGCGGCCCATCTGTAGGGGGCCTCGATCCAGGCGTGGCGCCAGAAAGCCCAACGACGGTAGACGTACCGGTCCGTCGAACGCGTGGGATGCCCACACCCAAGCTGCTGAAGGTGAGATTGTTTTAGTGTTAAACAATGTGTGGCATGGGGCTCAGTGATAGCTGCATCTCTCTCTCTCAACCCCTCTTGCTGCTGGTAAGCGTGTTTGTGGCATTATGCGCAGTGATAGCGGCATGTCTGCAGTGGGATAGGCATTCCCAGTACGCCTCGCTTCAGGGACGTGGCGCTGGGCATACGATGCTCTCACATTCTGCCTCCGACCCCTAGCTCACCATAGCAGTTATCCATCCTCCATTGGCCCCTCTCTTCCCATCCCTTCCCACCCTAAACCAGAGCCCCTGTTCATGGTGCTGGTACTGGTGTGGGTGGCACGCGGCGCAAGGATAGCTCATTGTAGCAGTTATCCTTCCTATCCCTCCCCCCTCTCTCCCATCCCTCGCCTAGCTCTTCCAGAGCCCCTATTCCTGGTGCTGGTGGTGGTGTGGGTGTCATGCGGCGGAGGGATAGCTAAGAATAGCAGTTATCCTTCATCTCACTTCCCTCTCTCTCCCATCCCTCCCCTCCCTCTGCGAGAGCCCCTGTTGATGGTGCTGGGGGTGGTGTAAGTGTCATGCGGCGGAGGGATAGCTAAGCATAGCAGTTTTCCTTCATCTCACTTCCCTCTCTCTCCCATCCCTCCCCTCCCTCTGCGAGAGCCCCTGTTCCTGGTGCTGGTGGTGGTGTGGGTGTCATGCGGCGCAAGGAATAGAGGAAGCCGTATCCGTCAACCCCATGCGGCCCCCTTTCTGTCCGCCGCTCCTCCCTCCCCTCTCTATCCCGTCCCTCTCCCTCCTCGTCCAGAGCCACTGTAAAAGGTGCTGCTGGTCACGCGTGTGGCATGCGGCGTAGCGTGCAGGGGGGTGGCTGCAGTGGAAGTTGAGACTCCTCGTACGAGGAGAACATGAACCCTCGCGCTGGGCGTACGGTGCCCTCTCACTCTGCCTACTCTCCCGTCTTTCGCTCTGACTATTTAATCCCCTCTCTCTCCCCTCTCACTCTACCATCGCTCCCCTACCTCAACCAGAGCTCCTGTTCATGGTGCTGGTGGTGGGGTGGGTGTCATGCGGCAGAGTGATCGTAAATCGCAGCAGTTATCCTTCCCATCCCTCCCCCCTCCCTCCCATCCCTCCCCTCCCTCTGCGAGAGCCCATGTTCATGGTGCTGGGGGTGGTGTGGGTGTCATGCGGCGGAGGGATAGCTAAGCATAGCAGTCATCCTTCATCTCACTCCCCTCTCTCTCCCATCCCTCCCCTCCCTCTGCGAGAGCCCATGTTCATGGTGCTGGGGGTGGTGTGGGTGTCATGCGGCGGAGGGATAGCTAAGCATAGCAGTCATCCTTCATCTCACACCCCTCTCTCTCCCATCCCTCCCCTCCCTCTGCGAGAGCCCCTGTTCATGGTGCTGGGGGTGGTGTGGGTGTCATGCGGCGGAGGGATAGCTAAGCATAGCAGTTATCCTTCATCTCACTTCCCTCACTCTCCCATCCCTCCCCTCCCTCTGCAAGAGCCCCTGTTCCTGGTGCTGGTGGTGGAATGGGTGTCATGCGGCGCAAGGAATAGAGGAAGCCGTATCCGTCAACCCCACGCGGCCCCCTTTCTGTCCGCCGCTCCTCCCTCCCCTCTCGATCCCGTCCCTCTCCCTCCTCGTCCAGAGCCACTGTAAAAGGTGCTGCTGGTCATGCGTGTGGCATGCGGCGTAGCGTGCAGGGGGGTGGCTGCAGTGGAAGTTGAGAATCCTCGTACGAGGAGAACATGAACCCTCGCGCTGGGCGTACGGTGCCCTCTCATTCTGCCTACTCTCCCGTGTTTCGCTCTGACTATTTTATCCCCTCTCTCTCCCCTCTCACTCTACCATCGCTCCCCTACCTCAACCAGAGCTCCTGTTCATGGTGCTGGTGGTGGGGTGGGTGTCATGCGGCGGAGTGATAGCTCACCATAGCAGCTATCCTTCCTCTCCCATCCCTCCCCCACCTCTTCCAGAGCCCATGTTCATGGTGCTGTTGTTGGTATGGGAGCCATGCGGCGCAGTGATGGCAACAGCCCTCTCTCTCAACCTCTGAATTCCGCCCTTCATTCGGAGGCATCACTCAATTTTATGTTTCCAATCCACCCGTCCGTCATAGGTTCATTTCGCCGTGGGGCGGGACCGGATGTGCCTAGAATGGCCAGACGATGCCATAGACTTCTACCCAACGCTCGAACAGCGCCTTCAGGTTTTGTATCAGGTTATCAGCGAGACGCACATAATTAAGCTGATGCAGCTGCGAGAGGCTATGGAAGACAAAAACATCGTCGACAGCTTCAAACGCGCTTGGACGTCATGGAAGAACGATCGTGGCTTCCACCTCAAGCGCAGAGTGCTTGTAACTTTCGGCAAGAAGGTGCAAGGCCTGCGTGCAGCCAATCTCTGGATGGGCACCAAGAAGAAGAAGAAGATGTGGAGAAAATACCAACCGAGTGAGTACGCGCGTTTCTGTTTTACTTCACCATTCATTTCATCTGCTCGTGCACCCCTCGTGACGATGATGAACAACTTACCCTAATGCATCCCCACTGTGGCACGCAACTACATACCTGCTCTCCTTGCCCAGGCTTGTAGCGCATGTGCAGTCACATCCGCATGACAGCTTAACGTTGGTTCTTCTCCCACTCTCCCCTTCTCCCGCCCCCCCTTTAATCTACAGCTCTCCTCTTCCCTCCCGCCATCCCGTTCTCTCCCTCCCTCCATTTCTCTTCAGCCCTCCCCTTCTCTCCCGCCCTCCATGTCTCTCCTGCCCTCCCCCTCTCCCCTGCCCTCCCCTTCTCTCCTGCCCTCCCCTTCTCTCCCGCCCTTCCCTGCTCTACTGCCCTCCAGCCAACCCTCCATTCATTCTATACCGCCATCCACTTCGTCCATACCCTTTGGACAACCCCTAACCATGTCGTGCATGATCTTCGTCCCCGCCTTGTCCTGTGTGCGCGCAGGAGGGAATCAGCGGGTCAGCTCGTGGGGAAACAGCAGAGACGGGCTCCCATTTTCCAACGGCCGGTTTGTAGATGCGGTCCGGGAAGCATTTCGGAATCTCTGTGTCGGGCGCCGGGTGTGAGTCAAAGCCTACCACATTGCCTGGTCAATCATGGTGGTAAGGCATCATTGCTCTCCCATCAGTTCGCTCTAGCTTTGCTTGCAATTCTTGCCCGCCAGACTGGAATGTGGGGCTATTTGCGCAGCCCGTGAACTCTACACGCGAGTGTCCACATATGTCTCTATTTCCCCTCTTTCCCATACTTTGCTACGCTTTTTCAGATTGACCAGGGCTTGGCAAAGGTTAAGAAGACCGATTGGAACGTCTCGAACTCCCACCGGAAGAACACCGAGTGGATGACGGGTTTGCACCGAAATGTGCGGTGGATTATCAAGGACCACTTCACACGCCACACCCCCGTGTACAACACAATCGTGCAGGGCTTCAAGTGGGGCGACCGTGGCCTGTATGTTCACGAGTCAGGATTTGAGGCGTTCAAGGGGACGGCCGCGCCTGACGAGGAGAAGAAGGACTTGAAGGAGGAAGAGCAGGAGGTGTACGACACGGAGGACTTGAAGACGGATGACGAGGAGGATGACGAGGATCAGGAGGAGGACGAGGAGGAGGAGGAGGAGGAGGAGGAGGAGGAGGAGGAGGAGGAGGAGGAGGAGGAGGAGGAGGAGGAACAGTGGGGGCAGGAGCGGAGGAAGAGCAAAAGGCACAAGAGATGCAAAAGCAGGGGAGGCAAGAGGGATGAGCAAGAGGATGAGGAGGAGGAAGAGGAGGAGGATGTGAAACGGGGGGGGCGGGAGATTAGGAAGGGCAGAAGGCAGAAGAGAGGGAAACTCAGGGGAGGCAGGGGGGAAGAGGAAGAGGGTGGGGAGGAGGAGGAGGGGGAGCAGGAGGATGAAAATCATAGGGGGCAGGAGAGGAGGAAGGGCAGAAGGCACAAAAGAGGCAGAGGCAAGGGAAGCAGGAGGGAAGAGGAAGAGGAGGAAGAAGTGGAAGAGGAGGAAGAGGATGAGGAAGAGGAAGAGGAGGAGGAGGATGTGGAACGGGGGGGGCGGGAGCTTAGGAAGGGCAGAAGACAGAAGAGAGGGAAAATCAGAGGAAGCAGGGGGGAAGAGGAAGAGGATGAGGAGGAGGAGGAGGGGGGGCAGGAGGATGAAAATCATAGGGGGCAGGAGAGGAGGAAGGGCAGAAAGCACAAAAGAGGCAGAGGCAAGGGAAGCAGGAGGGAAGAGGAAGAGGAGGAAGAAGTGGAAGAGGAGGAAGAGGATGAGGATGAGAAGGGGGGGGGCCAGGAGCGAAGGAGGGGCAAAAGACACAAGAGTGGCAAACGCCGGGGAGGCAAGAGGGTCAAGCGATGGGACGACTAAACAAGGGGGGCAGCGGATGAGGCATGAGTGGAGTTTACAAGGGGGGGCAGCAGGATCGGCATCACACACTTGCGAGGAGACATCAAAACGGAGGTAGAGGCATTGGTGGAGACAGCAAGGGGGGCAGCGCGCCAGGCAAGAAAGTAGAGTCAGCATGGGGGGTAGCACGGGCGGCAAAAGCGTGGAGTCAGCAAGGGGGGCAGCAGTAGAGACAATGTGAGGAGTGTCCAAGGGTGGGCAACCAGCAAGGCAACCAGATAGTGCAAGAGGGTGCAGCAGAAAAGGCATGAGTTGAGAGAGTTGGGGGGGCAGCAGAAAAGGCACGAGCAAATAGAGGGGAGTGCACAAGGGGGGCAGCAGGTTAGGCATGACTGGAGCAAGCAGCAGTAAAGGCATGACTGGGGAGCGCCAGGGGCGGAGCAGCAGACGCATGAGAGGGCAGAGCATGCAATGAAGCAGTGGACGCAGGGGCACGCTCGACCTAGAGCACCAGAGATGGGGTTCGGTGGAAGACATAGTGTACTGGAGCATGCTAAGCAGGTCGTAGGATGATGCAGCTCAACCTAACTAACTAGGCACAGAGGGTTTAGGATGCTGTTTTATGTGCGTTTTTAGGGTGGAATTATCAGCTTTTACCAAAGCTTCTGTACTGTTCATTTTGAATGCAAGATTGAGGCAACTTAACATAGTTTTAAATTACATATAAGGTCGTGCAAGTCTCCTACATAAGCTTATTTTAATGAACCCGAAATCCCATAAAGAGTACATTGCAATGAGATCCGATCTTCGAAATTGCTCTACATTGCAATGAGATCCGATCTTCGAAATTGCTCTGCGGAAACTTGTACCAAACTTCTTCCGAAGGTGTTCACCTGGCAGGTTTGAACAGAAAAGCATTGGAGAAGCATTTGAAAAGCGTTCGAGAAAGCATTTGGAAAGCAACCTATACTTTCTCAAAAAAGCGTTCGAAAAACGTCGTTCAAGAATCATTCGACAAAACTCCAAAGCAACTTTTTTCATCGGTTTTCCGGATGCAGGATTTTTGTGATGCAAGCCTTGGAAACACAGCACGGGTAGGGGACAGGGTAACAAAGCTACGAGGGGCAATGCGTCAAGGGGCTCTGCTAATGGCGGTGAGCAGAATTCGGAAGTGACTCGGCAGGTATGTAACTTCGAGTTGCAGATCGGGCTCTGACACAACTGGCACCATGATTCGTCAACTGCGAGCTCCAAACTTGCAGGGCCTGAATGCGGAGAGGCCGGGTAAGGGTTTCGACAGAGGGACTTACCTCTATATAAGGTTCCTGGACTGTCGTGTTCCCGCAGCTCTCGATTTGTCTTAGCAGCGACGCGGGCAGAGCGGGCTGCTTGATGGTGAGGCTTCCGATTTCGAGAGTGATGTGGGGGAAGGCCAAAGAGACGCGGGGCAGGAAAGGTGACGAGCGAACGAATGGCAACGAGATACCGGCGTCGCCGTTGTTACTGTTTCGTAGAGGCGATTCGGGCTACCTTTTCTCACGGTAGGAAGAAGCAGGTTCACGATATACGTCTAGTACTGTGTTCTGGTTGAGGCAACCTTCTTGACTTGACACGTGCTTGGCATGGGAACGACACCGGAAGAAGTGATTTCAAATCAGGGTTTTGGGTTGATCACGCACACTTAGGGCGTGTCAGATCCGCTACAAGGTGATTTGGCCGGAATTTGGTAGACAATTTGGTCGATAATATCTTTCGCCAAAGTCGACAACATGGTCTACTTCAATAACGACCAATATCCGGCCACATTTACAGGGCCGAAAAATCTGACACATTTGGTGACTGATTTGATGGCCGCTTTGCAAATGTTTCAGATTTGCAGTTCGCCAGGGTCGCCGGATTGTGCGACGGAATCGCAGATGCAGTACTTGTGTGACACGTTGCGTCGCACGAGTTGGCGACGTCGCGTAGTGACTGTAGTGATCTCAGGTCGACAAATTGGTCGACTTTCGAGTCGACTGCACGTCGGAACTTTGTCGAATGTTGAACCGGCCATCAAATTTTCTACAAATGGCCGGATTTGACGAACTCTCCGAAAATCTTTGCGGATGTCGCGAATATGTTACCTTCACTAATTCCGGCCGGCCGGATTTTTCCGACAACGGATCTGACGCACCCTTACTGAAACTATTCGCCAAAAGCGCAGCACTGTAGCTTCTGGCGCAGCTTTTTTGCCATTTTTTCGCTCATAGCGCAGAATTAGCTCCTTCCAACGCAGTTCATACATAATTGGCCAAATTATCAACGGACCGACAACTCCGCCTAAATTAACGGCCAGCGAACCATCTACAACTGCTTTCGGGCTGACAAAAATACAAACCCCTCTCGGATGGAATGTAGTTTAGGGAGGCATCAACCCGAACACCCCAGCGGAACTCGGTCGTCAGGACGGATTTGCCAGAGTCGTCGAGGGGGGTCGTCTAAGCCTGGGCTGACGCGGCGGAACATTGACGCGCGTGCGGGCCTGCCAGCCTGGCCCAGGGCTGGGCCGAGCGCACGACCGCCGCCCCGCAGCTCCGCTCCGAATGTGAACAGCGGCCCACGTTACCGGATGGGGTCGGCGAACTGGCGACAGCTTGCGCGTGGGAAAATTACCCTCGCGCGAAGGCAGCCCACACGTGCCACCTACCTGCGAGATCCTAATAACCCATCGCGGCCTGCCCGGACGGGCAGGCGAGGGCCAGGCGAAAATTCGCGGCCCCCTTGGGACACTCGACAACTTCGCGACCCGTTGCGGTGACGCCACGTGTTCGCCCGCTACTTCGCATCGGGCAACATGCAGAATTTGGGACATTGCGAATTCGATTTTGATCGTTTCGCGGCGCACATTTTTCGCTTCGGGATGTGACATCGAATTGCTGGCTCGGCGGCGAATGAGAACTTCTGCCACTAGTGCACAAGCCCGCCAAACCCCGCCGAGGCAGGCACCACGAGGGCCGGGCGATGCCTCGACCATTCATGTGGGGCACTGACCCCCTTTTCTTGGTGGAAGGGGGCATCGCTCCTCATTTTTGGCATCTCGTTTCCCTTTCCACCTTTTCCCCAGCTCTGCGCCTTCTCCCACATTCACGTCCCTTAGCCTGTAGCCGCTTCCCTTCCCCGCCATGTCGGCCGCCCCGAAAGTCGGCGAAGTGACGCCGACTTCGCAGTTCTTCCCTCTGTATCTCGACCTGGGTAGTGGGCTCACTGCCAAGCTCGACCAACACGACTACGCCATCCTCGTAGACTATAGGCTAGAGTTCAACGCCCGTTGCTTGGGATTCGGCCTCAAGTGAGTGTCCATATTGGGATGTCGGCGTCGACCTCTGGATACCTTGTAGGTCGACGTTGTTAGGGTTGTCCCACGTTTTGGTCGGCGCTACTAGTTTAGGGTTTAGATCACTACTCGGTGACGCACACAGCCGTAGGTCGGCACCGGACTCCGATCACTACAGTAGGTCGGTGCCCGCATCGTACTATCGCCATTCCCGTCAGTTGTCGGTTCCAGAACCCACGTGTCCATCCGTCGCGCCTTGCACGTCCTCACCTACATCTACTACCCATGCATGCGTGCAGGCACGCATGGATTCGCGCCGCGCCAACCAACATGCGATTGTGGTCGATAGGACTCGGCCGGCTTCGGGTGGCGATGGGCAAGGAAGACCACTCATGCTTTGCTACGGTGTTCGACGCCGACGTAGCTGTTATCCCCCTGCATTCGAGGTGAGCCTAAGTCATGATGGTGTGCCATGATGCCTATGTCGCTGCTCCGTTCTGATCGACGTCGTGGTGCCTAGCCTGTGCAGCATCGCACCGCTTCCAGGAGCACATTGCAGCGTCGTGGTCATCCTGTACCCCGGCGACTTGTTGCGGGTCGGGGGGGAGACGATCAGGACCTCGGTCCAGCACTTTGACCCGTAAACCGTGAAGCAGTGGCACCGCGACAAGGCGATCTGCACACTGAAGTGAGCTCGATAGTGTAGTCGACGACGTATGCAATTTCGCCGCTGGGCGTTAAGCAAGTCTACTAACGATATGTGCCATGTTGCTTCAGGTTTTTCCGGGCGGCGGTGCTGGCCGAGCTCGGCCGCGATGGCCGGCAGTGGGAGTGGCCGAAGCCTTCCGCTGAAGAGGTGGCGGACAGGCTCGCCGAGTGCGATGAACCCATTCGAGATGTGAGTAGCGATCATTTTACCGTCCTAGCGCGATGCTATTGCCGCCGTCGGTGCTCATCCTTGCTCTCTGGTCTGTTGTTTGCAGAAAGTGCGCGACACCGTCCGGGACAGCGACGCGAGCTCTAGCCTCCTATCAATGAGCGCACTGTGCTGGGTGGTGAAGAGGATGGATCGCGTGACCGGCGACGACCGTCGCAGTGCGACCAGCATGGACAAGGTCCTCGTTTTGGGGTTGAAGGAGCTGCGGATTCGGATGATCACATTCATCAAGGAACACGTCGCACGCAAACGGTCGGGCCATGTTGGAGTTGCTGCCGACGCCGCAGAGCCCCCTTCGGCATCCCAAGCAGACGGTGTTGCCGACACCAGCGGAGAGGCCAGAGACGGCGTCGACAAGGCAGATGAGGAGGCAGAAAGGGCTGTGGCGAGGACCGTGGATCAAGAAGAGGAGGATGACACCGATGATCAGGATGATAACGAGGAGGATCGTGAGGAGCGTGAGCACGGGCATGGGCAGGAGGAGGAGGAGGAGGAGGAGGAGGAGGAGGAGGAGGAGGAGGAGGAGGAGGAGGAGGAGGAGGAGGCGACGGCGGCGGCGGCGGAGGCCGTGGAGCAGGGTTTAGGGTCGGTGGAGCAAGTGGCAGTGAGGGAGAAGCAGCAAGAGGGGGAGGAGGAGGTAAAGTTCCCCTGGGTCGAATTCGAGATGGAGGATGTTGAGGGAGCGGCGGCAGTGGCCGTGGAGGGAGCGGCGGCGGCCGTGGAGGGAGCGGCGGCGGCCGTGGAGGGAACGGGTGGGATGTGAGCGGATGTTGTATACAAGGGAGGGGAGGGTGCCGATGTGGAGAATGTCGGCGTGGAGGAGGCGCACGTGGTCGGCAATGAGGTTGGCGACGCGAAGGAGGAGGATAACGCCGCGGCCCCGACGCTGACGGGCGTGGAGACCACCACAGGGAACGCAGGGGTGGAACGCCGGGGTGGAGCGGTAGAGGCGGGCCGTCAACCGGGTTCCTCAGCAGCTGGTCGACAGGCAACGCCGGCCATCGTCGTGCAGCTGCGACAGGAGAACAGGTGGCTGAGGGCTGAAAATGCTCGCTTGGAGACGGCGCTCGGAGTGGAGAGGGGTCGGGTGGACAGGTTTGCGATGGGGATTGGCCGCCTCGTGGACAAGCTCAGGTCGTTGGCCGACGAGGTCGCCGCCTCCGACCAGGACGCGGCGAGTCGGCTGATGGACGCGTCCTTGACCATGGCGACGATTGCCACAGAGAACATTACCGCCAACATGGGTGAAGCATGGGATGCGATGAAGGCGTACGCCGAGAGGGCGGAGTGCTGGTTGGACGATCTAGAGGATCCGGAGGGGTTTATGGCGCTGCAACGTGCGAACGCGGTTGTCGCCATGGGCAACCACGTGGACGAAGCGAGGAAGGGGTTGGAGGAATACATATCGAAGCACCTAGTCGCCGCGCAGACCAACATCGCCGCCGCGGTAACTCAACCCGTCGCCGTGCCGCCGCCCACGCCGCCCGCCCCACCGCCAGCCTTCCCGGACGAGCTCATGAAGTCTTACAAGGCAGACGTGTTGAAGGCGGTGACTGAGGCCACCCAGCAGTCGTTTGTTGCGTCCGGGTTAAACCTCATGCCCGAGGTGATCGGCAATCTGGCGCCTGGTCGGCTTGGGTCGTCGCCGTCGGCCAACGAGGCCGACAAGAAGGGTGCGAAAAGGGCGGGCGGCGGAGATGATGCGTTGAGCTCGAAGCAAAGCAAGGGAGCCGATGAGAGCCGCGGCGTCGGCCAGGTGGGTCCAGGCGGCTCGCGGAGCAAGGGAGCCGATGGGAGCGGAGGTACAAGCGTGGTCGACCAGCTCAAGAAGAACGGGGCCAAGGTGATAAGGACGCACAGCAAGGGCGATGGAATCAGGAGTGCGGAGAGGGGCCCTGCCGACCAGGTTGCCGCTCAAGAGGCTGGACCAACAGCCCCGCCATTGGTCGCCAAGAAGTCGGCCAGTCTAGCGACTGCACCAACGATGATAGATGGCGGCGCCAAAACCATCAAGGGAGCATCTGGTGGAGTGGCGGGGACCACGTTGATTCCCCGCAAACCCCCTGCGGCTAGCAGCACGCCGGTCGCTCCGTCAGCCGCCAACAACGATGGGCCGTCCCTTGCGGCTACTCCAGCACCAACAAGCACGTCTGTCGCCAAGGTTGACGCGGTGGATACTGCGGCTAACCGCGCTGGTCCGTCCGCCCCAAAGGCGAACGCGCTCAGGAAAATGCTCCGCTGCATGGAGACCCATCGACAGGACGTGCAGCAGCCTCCTGTGGTCGGTACCGCTCCGGCCACAACAGCACCTCGCTCGGTCACTCCGCAGGTCGCCGCCACAACGTCCAGTGCCCCACCTACCGCGCCTATCATCGCCGCTCGACCTCCTGTGGACCCAAAGTCCGCGTTGCTTCGCACCCGGTTAGGCACACGTACTGCGGCAGCGCCAGCACGGGCTCAGCCGGTATCCAGCTGAAGCGCGACGCCGACATCGGTAACCGTAGCTGCACCCACACTCGGTGCGGCTACTGTCGAGGCGGTGGCGGAGAAGGGCGTGAGTGCAGCGCTAGCCACGGGCGGCGGATCAGTTGACCCTGCACAGGCGGCGAAGGACCACAACGACGCCGATATCGCTGCCATCCAGTACCTGTTGGAAGCGATAAACCGCCCAAAGCAGCCCCCTAATCTGGTCATCTCGGACTCGGCGCATGTGGAGCACTCGGCGAGTCCCACTGGTTGTACAGCGGAGCCAAAGACAACCATTGTTGCGGTCGGCGCGGGAAAGTCGAAACAGAAGGGGACAGTCAACGCAGGGAAAGCGAGGCCGAGCTCGCAGAAGAAAACACGGGCGACGTCGGCGATGGTGAAGTCGGTGCAGAAAGGACAGGGGATGGCGACAGCGATGGTGAAGGAGAAGGCGGCGGAGAGAGGGAAGGAGAAGGAGAAGGAGGAGAAGGAGAAGGAGAAGGAGGAGGAGGAGGAGGAGAAGGAGGAGAAGAAGCAGAAGGAGAAGGAGGAGGAGGACAAGAAGGAGAATGAGAAGGAGGAGGACAAGGAGAAGGAGAAGGAGGAGGAGAAGGAGGAGGAGGAGGTGGAGGAGGCGGAGGTGGAGGAGGAGAGGCGGCGACGGAGGAGGAGAAGGTGAAGGTGAAAGAACGGAAGGTTCATGGCATCCGCCACGACACTACAGGCGACAAGCAAGGGTGGGTGTGCGAGATTAAGGTGGTCGGGAACGAGAGTAGATACATCAGCAAGTCCCGCGAGAAGATGGAGTTGGCTTTCCTTCACTCGATTGTGTACCTCCTCTACGACGGTTACGTCAGCAAGATCCTCATGGCCGAGCTCACCGGCTTGGAGGAAACAGTGATGAAGCAGTGGAGGGCGGTGTGGGAGGAGGTCTGGTTCTTGCCGACCGGGATGAAGACGGTGATATGGGCACGGGGCGCGTTCCTCCCAAAGACACGGTAAGTCGGATAAACGTCGGCCAAGCGATGATGTCGACGTCGGCGTTCCTAATGGTCGTCCAGTTTCGTGTGATTGCGTGACAGGTTTGATGATATCCCCGGGAAGTATCGAGCGTACAAGACATCAGGCAATGCGCACCACGACGCGCTTTTGCCCGCGATCTGGTTCCCCGTCGATGCCGACACGAAGGGAAGGAGAATTCGGATGCAATGATGTCGGCCATGATTGATTGCGTGTCCTTGTGCGCTGCGTATGGGAAGGTCGCTGCATCCGCGGCGAGAAAGGAGGGTGACACGGATCAGACGACGGCAAAGGTCGCACAGGCGCTATCGGCCTCTGCTTGCGCCCTGTGGTGCTTAGTCGAGGGCGACGGCGCCCAGGTGGCTGATGCCGTGCGCGAAGGGAAGGCGGCGGCGACGGTGGTTGGCGCGAGCGTGACTACCGCCGCCGAGTTCAAGAAGGTCATGACGGCGGTGCTGGAGGCCACGATCAGCAGGCAGCAACCCCTCGGGGAGGTTGCGCACAACGTCGCACCGGCGCTGGAGTCTACCGCTCTGGCTAAAGCCTATCCAGGGCTGGATGTTGAAGTCGAGGCCAAAGTGATCGCACGAGCGACGGTGGAAACCCTCGCGTTCTGGGGAATGTGCCCCGTAGATGGGCCGAAACTCAAGAAGATCGGCATCGTGGTGCCGCTTGACGCGCAGATGGAGTACGATATCGAACACACGGGGTTGGAAGAGGCAGAGGGGCAAGCAGGGCAAGGACAGCTCGGGGAAGAAGGGGAAGAAGGGCAGAGCGGGCAAGGACAGCACGGCGGCGTAGTTGGCATAACAATCTGCCATGGGCGGCAGGAGGGAGCGCAAGTAGGTCTTGTTGCTAGGATGGCCTGGTATGGGCGGCGTCGATTGTGTAGTGTTCGTTGGGATTTCTTTTCGTTTGTGGTTGCGTATTTCTCTTGTTGGCTGTAACTTTTTGGTAGTGCATGTTACTAGAATACTCCTCGGCAAGGTCAACCTGATCACTACGATGTTACTCAAATGCGACACTGCGATGAACCCCGTCGGCGTATAACAACTCGGCGTCGTACGGTGTCGACATAGTGCGTCTAGCTGTATGCATGTATATACTCGGCGATGAGCCTCGTCAGCTAGATCGAGATGGTTAATGGTCGGCGCTTTGGGGAATGTGCCCCGCCACCCAGGTGGCCGAAACTCGAGGAGGTCGGCATCGATGTGCCGTTTGACGCGCATATCGAGCGGGCATGGACAGCACGGATGCGTAGTTGGCGCGCGGAGGGAGCGCTAGGTGGTATGATTGCTCGGTTATAGCGTGATCGGCGCCGTTTGCGCCGTTTGCATGCATGTAACTTTTTGTAAGTGCAGTCAGCAATGTCGACATGAATAAGACACAATGAATTGCACACACATGGTGGCGACTATGTCGGAGTCCGACATATCTGGTTCGGATGTATGTGTTGGATCATGTATGTTTGTGTTGTATCACCATCAACATGTACGATGGGATCACTACGGTTTGCTCAATTAGGGCATCATCAACCTACGCTAACACATATGCACCGAGGATCTTCATGCTGACTTCTTGCGCTTTGACGGAGGACGCTGCGCATGTGCGGTCTGCTTGGCCAAGTCGGCCACGGTCTTTGGCATCTGCACCTCCCAGGTGTCTGGAAACAGGCGGTCGACCCACGTCGTCGGCTTCAGCTCGAGCGCCACCAGCGCACAGGCGAGGCGTAGCTTTGAGACCACCTTGGGGGCAAGCCCCTTGACGCCCATGCCAGGCTCCTTGGACATCATCGATGCCGTCTCCGGGTTGAGCACCGTGAGGGCATCGCAGATGGTCCCAATGCCCGGTGCCGCGATCGTGTTCAGTGCATCGACCACGGCTTCGGTGTCGGCATCGCCGTCGCTCGCGCGTAGCTGGCGCACCGCATCCATGGCCTTCAGCATGCGGCGCACCCTCATGTTGAGTGCACCGTGCGTCGCGCCTTTGAGGAGGGTGTGGCGGTCGATGAACCCCGGCTCGGCGACCGTGTCGCAAAGGCGACGGGTGTCATTGGCGGTGGCGGAGTTCCAGAGGCGCCAAGCGTCCCGCACGGTCTTTGCCTCTCGCCAATGTTGCACCACGTTGAGCTCGTAACTGGCCTCCTCTACCGTCTGGGGGGTTGGCGGGGGTTTCCCATCATCTCTCTTGGCTCTGGTCCCCGTTTGGCCGAATCCGCGGAGCCACCTTCGCTCAGAGCTTGCTCGGTCGCCGACGGCGGCGCCGCCGGCATCCTCCGGGCTTCTGACACACGGAGTGCCTCGGTGACTCGAGCAAGCTCGGCGGTGAGCGACGCGATGGTGTCGTTTTGCATCTCGATCGTCTCCTAAAGGCCTAGCTGCTCGTGCGCCGAGCGCTCGACCTCCTTCTTCAGTGCCTCCTTGAGGGACATGTGTCAGATTTATATGACATAGCTATTGTAGCACATATGGGGTACAGCTTTCTAGGGGTTTGTATTTGTACCCAACTTTCACTTAGTCATTCACTCCTCGTTCAAGTTTTCTCATGGTATCGAGCAAGTTCCCTCGTGGGAATTGTTCCTAGGGCCCACCGATTCGATTTTTTTTTTCCTGCCCAGAGCGCGCTCAGCCCCTGCCCGAGTCGCGCTCCCCTCTCTCGACCCTGTCGCGCCGCCTTAGCGGCCCCGTCGCGTCGCGCTAGCGGCCCCGTCGCGTTGCCCTCGCGGCCCCATCCCGTCGCGCCGCCCTAGCGGCTACGTCGCGCTGCCCTCGCGGCCCCGATCCGCCGCCCTAGCGGCCTCGTCGCCTACTCCTGCGGCCCCGGCGCTGCCCTTCCCGGCCCCGACGCCGCCCTTCCTGACCCGGCCGTGCCTCTGCTGGCCCCGTCGCCTAGCCCTGCGGCCCCGGCGCCGCCCTTCCCGTCCCCGATCTGCAACCCTGCGGCCCCGTCGCCTACCCCGCGGCCCCGGCGCCCCCCCTTTCCAGCCCCGACGCCGCCCTTCCCGACCCGGCCCCGCCTCTGCTGGCCCCGTCGCCTACCCCTGCGGCCCCGAGCCGCCCTTCTCGGCCCCGGCGCTTCACGTCCCGGCCCGGGCCCAGCCTCTGCTAGCCCCGTCGCCTACCCCTGCGGCCCCAAGCCGCCCTTCTCGGCCCCAGCCCAGCCGCTGCTGGCCCCGTCGCCCGCCCTTCCCGGCCCCGGCCCCGCCTTCACGCGGCCCAGCCGTCACCACCGAGCCGCCAGCGCCACCCGAGCCGCCCGAGCCGCCGCACCATCTCAGCCGCCTGAGCCGCCGGGGCGCCGCACGCTAAGCTGCACTTGCCGCCGAGCCGCCCGAGCCGCCCGAGCCGCCGAGTCGCCGAGCCGCAGTTGCCGCCGAGCCGCCCGAGCCGCCGAGTCGCCAAGCCGCCGAGCTGCAGTTCCTGCCGAGCCGCTGAGCCACCCAAGCCACCCTGTCCGGTAAGAACAGCGCCTCTACCACTGCACTGCCCTTACCCCACTGTTCGCACTATTCGTCTACTTCTGTCATGGCTACCCCTAGTGTCCTCGCTTTTGACGCTAAGGGTCGGGCCATTGACTTTAACGTCTGGGTAGATGACCTGGGCTTTTCTTACAGTGCGATAGGGCGGACGGTCTCTCCCTCTTTGACCTCACCTCTAGTGCCTCTCCTGCCCCTGCTGCTGATGCTGACGCCACTGTTTGCTCACTGTGGGCCACACGCGATGCTGCTGCACATCTTGCTGTGCGTCGCCACCTGCCTACCTTTGAGCGTGCGCACTTTAGCCAGTACAAGAGTGCTCAGACCTTGTACGACGCTGTAGTTGCACGCTACTCTTCCCCCCACTGCTACACTGAGCCGCCTCATGCTACCGTACCTCTTCCCTGACCTTGCTGCCTTTCCCACACTCGCTAACCTCATTACGCACCTCCGCATTAGTGACACTCGCCACCGCGCTGCGCTTCCTGCTGATCTCTGCGCCAAGAACCCTCCCCCCCCCCCCCCCCCCCCCCCCCCATGTACATCACCCTCTACTACATAGTCACCCGGCTCCCTGACTCTCTTCGCGTAGCTCAGTTTGCCCCACCACTCTCACCGTTGACCTCCTTGAGAAGGCCCTCCTAGTAGCAGATAAGAGCATAGTCACTGTAGGAGCCTCACGTGGTGACCCTCGCACCCCCATCTTTGAGGGGTGTTCCCCCTCCCCCCTCATGCCCTCTATTGCCTCTACTGCTGTGGTCGATCTCGTTGGGCTTGAGTCGGTCAGTGCGGCGTCTATCCTTAGCGGGAGACGCCGCCCTGGCAAGGGCAAGGGGGGCAAGGGCAATGGAGGAGCTAGCGGGGGCGGTGGAGGCGGCGGAGGGAGTGGGGGTGGCAGTGGGAGTGGTGGCGGGGGTGGAGGTGTCGGTGGCGGCAGTGGAGGCGGAGGCGGCGGCGGCGGTGGCGGTGGGAGCGGAGGTGGCACAGGTGGCGACAGTGGAGGAGGCGGTGGCGGAGGAGGTGGAGCTGGTCGGGGTGGCGCTGCGCAGAGGGTCGGCTCCGATGGTGGTCCGCGCCAGCACCAGCAGCAACAGCAGCAGCGCACTCGTCACATCCCCCCCCACTCAGCAGCTCCGTGAGTGGTATGCTGCACGTCAGCGCGGTGGGGGTACTGGTCCGTGCACCTATGACCTACGCACCGGCGACCGCGCGGGTGAGCAGTGTGGGGGTGCGCACTCCACCCAGCGCTACTTTGGCCGCCTGATGGACGCTTGGCGTCACAAGTTCCCGAAGGCCACTGAGATCCCCCGCTGGGGTGAGCTGTCTAGGGTGGGAGTAGCCATCTTTGACCTTGACTTTGATGCTATTCTTCCTGCCATGTATGATGTGACTATTAGTGATGAGGGTGACTGTTAGCGGTGTTTTCCGCCCGACCCGGGCATTGAGACTGCTGCTCTAGGTACTGGTGAGGCTGCTGCTCTAGGTGCTAGCGAGGCTGCTGCTCTAGGTGCCAGTGCGTCTGCTTCCTCAACTGCTGGTGAGTCTGCGCTCTCAGGTACCGCGTCGGCTTCGGCCTCCCTCACCTTCACCCTTGACTTGGGGGCTTCTCGCTCCTTCTTTCAAGACCGCACCACACTCACGCCGCTCGGTCGGCCAATTGCAGTCTCTCTAACAGACCCCTTTGGGGGTCCTTCCTTGCTCACTTCTCCACTGTACTCCCATGTCCGGCGGCTCCCTCTGGCACCCTGTCTGGTCTCTACCTCCCCTCGTTCTCTATGAACTTGGTGAGTGGTGCTGACCTATAGGATGGGGGAGTTCACCAGTTCACTCCTGCGAGCCAGCGGGTGACCCACTGCACGGACGCTCAGACAGGCGGACACTTAGCCACGTTTACACGTCGGCTGGGGTCGAGCCTGTACACACTGACCACTGCGTCTCCTCCTATCCCTGCCTCTGGTCCGGTAGCTGCATCGGGTCATGTGTTTGCTGCAGCGTGTCTGGTCCTGAGTCTGCCCCCTACTCGTGTCGCCTCCTGTCTCACGAGATTCTCCTGTGGCACCACCGCCTTGGTCACCCCTCCCTGCTTCGTCTGCGAGGCATGGCTTCCCGTGTCCTTGTCTTTGGTCTTCCCCGGTCCCTCCCTCCCCTTCCTCCAGGGCCTGGTCCTTCCTGCGTCCCCTGTGTCGAGGGGCGGCAGCGGGCTGCCCCTCACTCCTCCCAGTTTCCTCCGATAGAGGCCCTGCTGCAGACGCTTCACATGGACGTGTGGGGCCCGGCCCGCGTCCGTGGATAGGGTCACGAGCGCTACTTCATGCTGGTAGTTGACGACTACTCGCGTTACACCACAGTCTTCGCCTTGCGCAGCAATGGTGATGTCACTGAGGTGTTGATCGACTGGATCCCCGCGCAGCTCGTCTCCAGCTCAAGCAGAGCTTCAGCTCGGACTTTCTTGTTTTGCGTCTACACTCCGACAGAGGCGGAGAGTTCTCCTCTGGCCTTCTGGGAGCCTACTGTTGTGCACGAGGCATCCGCCAGACCTTCACGCTTCCACACTGTCCACAGCAAAATGGGATTGCTGAGCGCCGCATTGGCATGGTCATGGACGTCGCCCGTACGTCCATGGTGCATGCGGCTGCCCCCCATTTTCTGTGGCCGTTTGCGGTTCGGTATGTAGCGCATCAGCTCAACCTTCACCCCAGGGTATCCATGCCGGAGACCTCCCCAGCTTTGCTATGGACGGGGAAGATTGTCGATGCGTCTGCGTTCCGTGTCTGGGGATCTCGGGCGTTTGTCCGCGACTTGTCTGCGGACAAGCTGTCCCCTCGTGCTGCTCCTTATGTCTTCCTTGGCTTCCCCCCTGACGCACCAGGGTGGCAGTTCTACCACCCCTCCTCTCGTCGTGTTCTGTCCTCCCAGGACGTCACGTTTGACGAGTCGGTCCCCTACTACCGCCTCTTCCCCTACCGCACTCCGTCCCTCCCCCCGCCACCTCTCTTCCTTGTGCCAGGTCCCCCTCCAGTAGACCCCCTCCCCCCTCAGGGTCCTGCCCCTTCAGGTGTGTCCCAGGTAGACGCAGTCGAGCCTGTCAAGGTTACTGGTGACTCTGGTGCTGCTTGGGGTGCTTAGCCTGGGGGTGCTGACTCTGGGGGTGCTGAGCGTGTGGGTGCTACGCTTGGGGGTGCTGAGCCTACGGGTGCTACTACTTGGGGTGCTGAGCCTGGGGGTGCTAAGACTGGGTGTGCTGAGCCTGGGGGTGCTGCGCCTGGGGGTACTACGCGTGGGGGTGCTGAGCCTGGGGGTGCTACGTCTGGAGGTGCTGAGCCTAGGGGCGCCACGTCTGGAGGTGCTGAGCGTGGGGGTGAGGAGCCTGCGGGAGCTGGGCCTGATCGTGTGGCGTCTGGCGGTGCTGGGCCTGGAGGTTCTCCGGGTGCTTCCTCACGGCGGGAACCACTCTCTCGACAGGAGCTGCGCGAGTGGTTTGCCCAGCGCTGGAGGCGTGCTGCTGGAGCTAGAGTTTCTTCGGCTGCTGAGGGTACAGGTGCCTCGGGTCTCGAAGGTGCCCGTACTGGGAGTACTAGAGCTGCTGGGCCTGCGGGTACGACTCGAGCTGGAGCTGCTGAGGGTGTTGGCGAAAAGGCTACTGCTGTGGGTCCTGGAGGCGGTCCTATTGGGGGTGCTACTAGTGCTGCTGGACGTACTGGAGCTGGAGGTGCTGTTGACGCTGGTGCTGCTGCTGGGGGTACTGGTCCTGTCCCTGCTATGTCTGGAGTCGCCGCGCGGCCTTGACCGTACTTCATTGCACTCCTTCAGCAGGTTCTTGGTCTCTTACCTTCTACTGGTCCTCCTCCTCCCTGACAGTGTCCACACCCTGTCTCGTCCCGGTTACAGTTACAGCCGGCCTCCCCACTGCCTGCTCCTTCTCCCTACACTGGTCCTACTAGAGGTCTTGCACAGCGTCGTGAGCCTGCGTCTTGCCCTGCGTCGCTTGTCCGCGCTGCACGCACTAGTGGTCGAGTCCTCTCTTCCTGCTCTTGCCGACCCGGAGTCGGACTCTCTTCGTGCTGCCAGTCCTACTGTCACGCGTCTCCTTGCTACTGTCATCACTGACCCGTCCTTTGAGTCCACAATTGCGTCTGCCCTAGTTGCTGAGCTCGTCAACTTTGCTGCTCGCTGTCGTCTAGACTACGCTGCTAGTCTTGTTGCTGAGTCTGCGTCTGTCTGTCCTTTGTCCATCGGAGGTGAGTGTGCTCTTGGTACGGACGTCGTTGAGGAGAGGCAGGAGGAGTTCCAGTGTCTGGCTGCTGCTTCACCTTTTCTCGTGTCCGTACTGCTTACTTGTGAGGGAGACCCGGATGCACTTGACATCCTGACTCCGCGCTCTTACGTGGAGGCGATAGAGGGTCCCTACTCCTCTCAGTGGCAGGCAGCTATGGACGCAGAGATGGCTTCCTCGAAGTCCACAGGCACCTACGTTGACGAGGTTCCCCCGCCTGGGGCGAACATCGTCAGTGGCATGTGGATTTTCAGGGTGAAGCGGCCGCCAGGTTCTCCACCTGTCTTCAAGGCGCGGTACGTGGCACGTGGCTTCAGACAGCGGCAGAGAGTTGACTACTTTCAGACCTTCTCTCCCACCCCGTAGATGACCACTCTTCGGTTGCTACTGCACATAGCCGCTCAGCGCGACTACGAGCTTCACTCTCTTGACTTCAGCACTGCTTTCTTGCCGGGCAGCCTGCACGAGGAGATCTCGCTGCGCCGCCCACCTGGCTTCACTGGGACTTTTCCTCCTGGCACCCAGTGGAGCCTCTGGCGGCCAGTCTACGGTCTCTGCCAGGCACCGCGTGAGTGGCACGACACACTGAGGACTACGCTTGCGGCTCTTGGGTTTGCTCCCTCTATTGCCGACCCGTCGCTGTTTCTGCGCACCGACACTTCTTTGCCGCCGTTCTACATCCTCGTGTACGTCGACGACTAGGTCTTTGCCATAGCTGATACTGCTGGACTTGCCCACGTGAAGTCCGAGCTGCAAAAGAGACACACGTGCAAAGACCTGGGTGAACTGCACAGCTACCTTGGCTTGCAGATCATGCGGGACAGAGCACGCCGCACCATAACCCTGACGCAGTCACACATGGTGCAGAAGGTCCTCCAGTTTTGTACATAGACAACAAGGCCATGCTGGCCTTGTGTCGGGAGCACAGATTGGAGCACAGAACGAAGCACATTGCTCTTCGCTACTTCCTTGCTCGTGAGCTACAGCAGCGTGGTTAGCTGCGTCTTGCGTTCGTGGCCTCTGAGGCCAGCACTGCTGATATCTTCACCAAGGCACTTGCGTCTTGTGATCATCAGCGTTTCTGTACTCTGCTGGGTCTTGTGCCTGCCTTGCGTGACTTGCTCACCTCTTGACCTTGCTTGTATCGTTACATATATATATATACGCCTGCTCTTGCTTGTCTAGCCTTTTATATATATGTGTACTCTTGCATGTGAACTGGCCTTGTGGCCTTGACCTTGTGCTCGGAATGTGTGGTGACGTTGTGATCCACACTGAGCTTGCTTTGCTTTGCTTTGCTTGACCGGTCTTGTGACCCCTTGTTCTCCCCCACTTTGCCTATGGGGGTGTGTCCGATTTATATGACATAGCTATTGTAGGCTATAGTGGGGTAGCACATATGGGGTACAGCTTTCTAGGGGTTTGTATTTGTACCCAACTTTCACTTAGTCATTCACTCCTCGTTCTAGTTTTCTCAACATGTTGTGATACTGGGTGTCCATGCGGACGGATATCTCCTGCAATGTTGAGTGTGCGGAAAGGCAACACGAGGTTAGAATTCTCCGGTATTCGAACGACGCTTACATGGTCGGCAACTCACCTCCGGCTTAATCTGAGTCGGGTACCGGTGCTTTTTGATCGTATCGGTGTCGATCGAGTCGACCCTTTTCGCCTAGTGTTGGAAGAGGGCAATCCTGCAAAGCTTGGAACCTTGGACGTACGGGTGCCATGGTGTGCGGACGAGGTTCACCGCGAGGTCCTCGGCGACAATGCGTCGGAACATCACGAGGGTGCGCAAGAAGTGCACTGCGGCTTTGTTGTATCGCTTCCTTTGACGGCACGCATCTCCGCTTGCAAGTCGGAAAGTGGCGTGGGTTAGTAGGGAGTTGGGCAGCCAACTAGGCCATGAGGACTGAAGAACATTGTCAGCGTCGCGTGACATATATCGCGTAGCATAGCATCCACGCCGGGGAAGATGTGCTCGGCGAGCAGGTCCAGGAGTTTATCGGAGGGCTCGACCCTGCTGCGCCCCAAGAAGTAGTCTTGCTTGAGTCCCGAGTAGCCGGCCTTCCGCATCACCACCCCAACGGGAATGGCCGTGATGTACGCACGCGTCATCTTGACGAGAGCCCATTGTCCCAGCTTGGCGATCTCGGCGCGCGGCATCCCTCCGATGGCTAGCTCCTGCGCACCTCCGGCGCGGGCGGCGTTCACGTTCCTTTTGCAGAACACCTTGTTGGTCGTCCACATCTGCCGAGTCCAACGTTGGTGGGTGGCGGTGGGGAGCTCCTCCTGCTCCTTGTCGTTTTTGGCGAAGAAGAGATGCTTCTTGTACCAGCGTTCGCGTTCAGTGGTGTCAAGCGGCGAAAGGAAGTCGATGCCGGAGAACTGACCGATCTAGTTGAGGATGAAGTGCAGCCACAGGCCGGTCTCGCCGACGGCGCACAGCTCCACTTCCAGGTGTCGCGCCGCGTAGCTCTGCTGAAGACGGGCATCCTTGGAAGTCTTCGAGTTACGCGCGGCGATCACCATGACGACCGGCTGGCTATCCGGGTTCACCTCCGAGGTGCTCGCCAGGAGGTACAAGAAGACGTCCGGGAGCGTGATCTCGCGGATGCTGGCGCCGCGCAGGAGAGAGTGGTGGGAGAGTAGCGTGAGCAGCTTGACGAGCAGGAATCGCCACAGCGTCTGCGACGGAGTGGTTGCCCACGGGTTCCACACCGCCGCTGCCCATGTCGGCAGCACCCTCATCATGATCTGGCGGAACTACTCGGCGGTGTAGGTATCGCCGATGGTGCCACGTTGACGATCGGCGTAGTTCTTGAACGCAAATCGGCGGGGAAAAACTGTTAGACTGCGTCGACTTTACAATGCACAGTGATAAAGAATAAGGTTGTCGACCAACTTACTGTCAGAATAATATATAAACCTATATATTGTTTTGTAACTGCCTGTAGTGTAGACTACTGTAGTTGTATAATGTTCTGTTGTGGTGGTACACCTTTCATCTTGCCTATTTGTACTGCTCGCTCTATAGTGAAACCCCTCTTTGTTGAAACTTTCTCGACTCTCCTAACCCTACTCACTCGAGCTCGATCTCTACTACTGAACTCACTATGGCTTCTATGCCTTCCTACTAAGAACGTTTCTTCACATGTTATCAGAGTGAGGTTCCTATCCTTGGACCTGATTTTTTTTTCCCATGGGCCCACCACTTCTCGTTCCTGCCATGGCGCTCGTCGCGGCCTCCCAAGCACCCGTTCAGCCGCTAGTCGTGACGTCGCGCGTGGCGGGTCTAGGTCTGTTCGTCGCGGCCCCAGTCGGCGGCCCCGTCGTCTGCCCATCGCGCCCTCCTGCAACCTCGTCACGCCCGGTCGCAGCCCCGAACGTCTGCATCGACGGTCGCTTTGGGGGGAGACGGCGGGTGTGGCGGCCGAGTTACTTCAGCCGCCGATCGCACCCCCTGCCCCGCCCTCCCGTCGACAATGCGGCTGCTACCGCTGCAGCTGCCTCGCAAGCGACGACGAGCTGTGCGCAGGCGCTCGTCGCGGCACCTGTTGCACCCACCCGTTACTCCCCCTTCCTACCCGACAGCTCACCAACCCCACCCGAGCCCGCTGCCGTTTTCTTCCACTGTGGACGACGGTGTGGAGGGGGGGGGAGGGGGAGGCGCGAGGGTGGTTGACGCCCCTCTGTTCGCTACTGCACGTGCAACAGTGTGGGGGGGAGGCTTTGGGGAGGCGGGTGTGAGCAAGAAGCTGCCGCCCCTCCTCTCTCTCTCACTGCCGCACGTGCTGCTGTGGGGGGGGGAGTGAGGGGGCGACGGAAGTCAGCCGGTCATCTGCTGCTGACGCCAGCTGCTGCCGTGGCACCTCCAGCTGCCGCCCCTGCTACCACCTACCTTTTTTTGTTGTCTCTGTTTTTTGCTACCTTGTGCTGGGGCCTGCAGGTGCTACCGTCGAGCCGCTGCTGTCCTGCTGCATGTTGCAGCCACAGAGCCTGCTCCTCAGGCGACCTGCCGCCCCACCACCTCCTACTGTTTTTACCTTGGTAAAGGGGTTGGTACAGCTGGATCTGCCATCACTGCACCTGTTGTCACTGCACTTGCCTGTTGCTATGATTTCCGCTGCGGCCTGTTTGGTGTACCCCATTATGGGGGCGTTGACTGCATATTCTTCCCTACAGGCACTTATGGGGGCGTGTCAGAATAATATATAAACCTATATATTGTTTTGTAACTGCCTGTAGTGTAGACTACTGTAGTTATATAATGTTCTGTTGTGGTGGTACACCTTTCATCTTGCCTATTTGTACTGCTCGCTCTATAGTGAAACCCCTCTTTGTTGAAACTTTCTCGACTCTCCTAACCCTACTCACTCGAGCTCGATCTCTACTACTGAACTCACTATGGCTTCTATGCCTTCCTACTAAGAACGTTTCTTCACACTTACTTGATGTCCCTCTCGTTCTTGGGGCGGACATTGAACCGCACCTCCGATCTGACCACTGAGATCTCCCTCATGATGCCCAGCTCCTTCTCTCGGTACAGCGTCGCCTCCACCCTCGCCGCCTTCTGGCATGCCTTTATGCGCCCGAGGATCGTGTGCACAGTTGTCGACCTCACAGGCCCGGTTCGTGTGGCATTGTTCTCCTCCTCGGGCTGGTCAACTATGAGGTTACACTCACGGCTCATTTGCTTCATGTAGGTGCGCAGCCGGGTTTCGGTGACCCTAGGTCCGTGCAGCCAGATGTACTGTCGGCGGACCACTTTCTCGTTGCACCAATCCTTTTTCTTGTTGTCGCGGATGTAGTGGCCGATCTCGTCGACGTGCCTAAGTCGTTGCTCATGGGGTAGCTTGTCACGTATCTGCTTCAGCATCTTCGCCGCCCACTTCTTGTAGTGGTAGATGAACACGGTGTACAGCCTGAGCGTGCTATCCTTCTCCAAGCATTGTAGGTGGCGTAGGGCGTCCATGACAAGCACGTCGATGCTGGAGTACACCATGTCGTCCACTACAAAGTCTGTCGCCTTCTAGTCTTCGCGCGGCACCGCCATGTTCTGATTGTCCTCCTTCTCGTCCTGTTCGTGCATGTCATGTATGTATTCGAATTCCCGCCTAAGGCGTTCTTCCAAGGTGCGCAGATTCGTGCTACGCGGAGGACGGTCGTCGACTTCGTCGTCGCTCTCTTCCTCGTCCTCGTCGTCGTCATCACCTTGGTTTTCCGAGCCGGCCGGCACCGACGAAGGTCCAGGCTGCCCATCTGGCATCGGCGTCGACTTCTTCGTAAACTCCCCTATTGGCGGACTCGGTATGTCCTTGGTGTACTCTCCTTCGGGAATCTGAGTCAATTTGTCAAGATCGTAAAGCAACTTCAGCGTCTCTACGCGGGTAGAGGACGGACTCTGGTCGGTTAGGGTACCAACGTCGGGCATGTCGACGTCGTCCATGACCGCTCGTATGCTCTACCGCCGGCCGTGGAAGAGGGAAAGATTGGTAAACCAGAGACGGTACTGATTCACGGGTGCGGTGTACGCCCTAATTGTCCTGCGGCGGTCTTCCTCGAATTCCCTCTCAGTGCTTCTAACTCAGCGTCGACCTCAAGCCGTTCCAGTTGCACTTTGATGTCGGCGTCTACTGAATCGGCGGGGGGTGGGATAAGTTGCAGCTGTTGGGCACTAGGCCTTCCTCTTACCATGCGTCGCCGACTCTATAAGGTTGGGAGATGCTATCGTCGCCCTGATCTATCGTCGCCGACTTTCCTAGATGACGACCTACAACCTAGTAAGGCGAAGTCGACAATGGTCGACCCCAACACCGACCTAAGTCAGTCTATTCCAGGTCGACGCCTGTGTGCCGCCGCTCGGTCGACTCGGCCGTTGAGTAACCTACACCCGCAGAGATAGCGAGGGTCCTGTGAAGAAAACGAAGTGCCAGATGGCGCACAGGAGCATGAGAGAAACACGAAGCTGAACCGGCGGAATGAGAGCGTTGTGCGTGGTCAAGGAGGGGTATAGTTGCGAGCCACTGCGCACCTGCCACGCTCGATGTAGCCCTCTTTGCAAGCGCCGATGTGCACGTGTATGACCTGTCACGATCGATGCATGTCTAGTGTCACGCCGCTCTGCGCTCAACGGCACTCCTGCCGGTGCCTTGCCACGGTGGAATTCACGTGCGCCACGTGCAATAGGCCAATCACCTAGTTCCACTCTCCCAAAATGCTATAGCGTCCTGCTCTCCCGCGCAAACCTCATCGACCTGCGAGTAGGCGCGTGGCAGGAGGGTTGGTCGACGCCGACATTCCCTGAGTCTGGGGCTCTCTTCGCCTAAGCATGGTTTGGTCCTCTCAGAATACTCCGCGTGGGTCGTGCTGCTGCGGTCGGATCTTCGGGCGACACCAACATCTCAATATACCGCGTTCTCTGGCTATCTAGGTGGTGGACACATGTACATGCCCTAGCCAGTCGTCTTTTGCCGCGTGGACGATGGTGACATTTTTCATCGGCGCGCCAAGTTTCGCGCGCAGAGAAATATACCCGGTGGTGCAAAGCGGGGCCACGTCGGCGCCGTCGTGGCACCTCTCGATTGTCAGGCTCAATCTCGACCGTCCCTACTAGGCCACGTGGCCGTAATCGCGGCTCGGCGCACGACGTGTCGAGGTGTGGTTCAGGGTCCGCTGAGATATCCTTCTCGGGTTTCTCTCAGCGAAACCCGAGGTCGTCAGATTGTCGACAATCCCGAGGGGTTGAGGGCCCCGGAGGACTGCCAGCTCGCCCCAGTTTGCCACTCCCAGGTCGTCAGGAGCTCGTTAATCCCGAGGGGGGCCCTTGTCCCATTTCAACCGCGAAATCGGGCAGCGTCTTTCGTCGGCTGATGGGTGCATGGGTGCATGAGTGCATGAGTGCATGGGTGCATGGGTGTGTGCATGTGTGCAAGGGTGCATGGATGCATGAGTGCATGGGTGCATGGGTTCATGGGTGCATGAGTGCATGGGTGCATGGGTGCATGGGTGAATGAGTGCATGAGTGCATGTGCATGGGTGCATGGGTGCGTGCATGTGTGCATGGGTGCGTGGGTGCATGGGTGCATGGGCGCATGGGCTCATGGGCGCATGGGTGCATGGGTGCATGGGCTCATGGGCGCATGAGTGCATGGGTGCATGAGTGCACGAGTGCATGAGAGCATGGGTGCATGGGTGCATGAGTGCACGAGTGCATGAGAGCATGGGTGCATGGGTGCATGAGTGCATGAGTGTATGAGTGAATGTGTGCACGAGCCAGTCTGTCTCTCCCTCTTCGCATGAGTTTTCCCTCTTTCCGTGAGTGCTCACTGCTCCCTCTTCATGTGGGTGCTCACTGCTCCATCTTCTTGTGAGCATGCTGTCTAGCCCTTGTATCCTCCTGAGTTCATGAGTGCATGAACCGTCCGCACCTCTCTCTTCCCTCTCTTCTTCCCCTCTCTCCAGTCTCTCTCTCTACACCACCTTTGGAGGCTCGCCTCTGCAGGTGCTCTCGCCCTCTGCACTCATGCTTGCCAACCTCCTCACGCTGCTCTCGCAGCTACTCTTCGTCTTCCTCAGCGGTGCAGGTGGGTGCTCGTGTGTGCATGATGGTTCTGAGGCGTTGGGAGGTGAGGGCGCTCTGCGTGTATGGTGCTTTGCTGGAGCACATGCTTGAGCTTTCAAGAGTTTTCAGAAGGAAGGAAGCGAGGGTTTGTTCTGAGGCATTTCGTAACTCAGATGGGAGCATGAGTGTGTGAGGGTGGTCTCCTCGCTCTCTCGTAAAACTGCTATGTGTTGTGTCCTCATCATTCATTCACTCACTGACTCTCTCACTGGAGCTGGTGTGTGCATGATTGCATGCTCTGCTCTGCTCTTCTATTTTGTGCTGTGCTGTTTGGTGCGGTGCTGTGCAGTGCTCCCTTTTGCTTTCTCCCGTTCCTCCCCCCATCGCTTGCTAATAGTTGCGAGCATTACCTGCCTAGAAGAGACCATGTGGTGCTCACGCCTTGTGATCTCGTTTCCCACTTTTGCTTTCCCAACTGCTCTTCTGCTCCTCTCCTCTCACCAGTCTTTGCTCGCCTCGGCCGGCCAGCAGAGACAGTTCGGTGCTCTCGCTTCGTCACCCTTGCCACTCAGGCCGTGACCGGCCATGGCACTGCGAAGAGAAGGTGAGGAGGCGAGGACATGAGGTGAGAAGGTGAGGATGTGAGGAGTTGAGGAGGCGAGGAGGTGAGGAGGTGAGGAGGCGAGGAGATGAAGAGGTGATAAGGTAAAGAGGTGAGGAGTTGAAGAGGTAAAGAGGTGAGGAGTTGAAGAGGTGAAGAGGTGAGGAGTTGAGGAGGTGAAGAGGTGAGGAGTTGAAGAGATGACTGTTCATGGAACTGAGAAGTAGAGGTGAGCAGTCACGAGGAGAGACAGTGAAGAGAGAGGACAAAAGTGAAGGGAGGGAGACAGACTGCAGTCCAACTGGATTTTGAAAGCAAGGAGTAGCTGCAAATTCCTCTTGAGTCGAGTCAAAAGTCACCTCATCATGATATGCCTTGCGCTCTCTCAGTTCCTGAGGTGCAAAGGCTTGCTCTTCTCAGTTTCACCGTTTCTATTTCCTCTTGCACGGTTTGCCCTGGTAGGGCTGAACTCTCACGAGCTGGTGAACGTAAAACTTGCGCTCTCCGTGCGCCTCTTCCTCCCCTCCCCCTCCGGGGAGGTGCACTGCTGTCTCCACAACCTGCAGCTGGTGTGATCCGAGGTCAGTCACTATGAAGCTTTTATGTCCATGCCATGCCGTGCCATGCCATGCCGTGCCATGCCATACCATACCGTGCCATGCCATACCGTGCCATGCTATACCGTGCTATGCCATGCCGTGCCATGCCATGTCGTGCCATGCCGTGCCATGCCACGCCATGCCATGCCATACCATACCATACCGTGCCATGCCATACCGTGCCATGCCATACCGTGCCATGTCATGCCGTGCCATGCCATACCGTGCCATGCCATGCCGTGCCATGCCATACCGTGCCATGCCATGCCGTGCCATGCCATGCCGTGCCATGCCATGCCGTGCTATGTCATACTGTGCCGTGCCATGCCATGCCATGCCATTCTGTGCCATGCCGTTCCATGCCATGCCATACCATGACGCAGTTGCTTGCAATGTTGCGCTCTCCCATGCCATGCCGTGGAGCCGTGATGCCATGATGCCACTTAACCTGCCTCCAGCATTGTCAATTACTCAATGCATCACAATGAGCTCGTGCGATGAGTTAACTTTTGAGTCGACTCATAATTCCTTGTCAAGACATGACATGGAGCTGTGCAATGAGCTGGTAAAGTCCTGTCTTGCAGGGATCATCTCGGTTGATACCTCCCTTTCTCCTGCACTGCACGGCCTCTCGTGGAGCGGGCTAGTCATGCGCCCAGTGCGGAGGGACCTGCTGTCTAGTGCCCCTTGTTGATGATACACACATTTCCAACCCCCCCCCCCCCCCCCCCCCCCCCCCCCTCCTTCCGTCTTTCCAGCTGCCCTACATGCGCTTTGGCTTCATGCTGCGGCACATAGTGGACGAATCCAGTCCTCTGCATGGCCTCTCCCTCAACGACATGCTGGCAGCAGATGCATCCTTCTCCCTCACCATCTCCGGCCTTGAACGCACCACCATGCAGCCAGTCTTTGTGGTCAAGGTCAGTCAATGCAATCAAGGTGAGTCAACACAGTCAAGGTGGAGTCAATGCAGTCAAGGCGAGACGATGCGAGTCACTTCATGAGTCAACTCGTAAGCTAACATCCTTCCCCCTCTCCATCTCTCGTTTCGAACGCACCACCATGCATGAGCTGGAGTTTGTGGTCAAGGTGAGTTGCTGTGGTTGAGTGAAAATAGTCAAGGTAAGTCAAGCTAGGCAAGGTGAGTCAAGCCAGTCAAGGTGAGTCAAGCCAGTCAAGGTGAATCAAGCTAGTGAAGGTGAGTCAAGCTAGTCAAGGTAAGTCACCCCTTTCCTCTACTGTTCTCCGCACTGTTCTCCGCACTGCACCCCTTTCTGCTGCTGTTCTCTGCACCCGTTTCCTCTGCTGTTCTCTGCACCCGTTTCCTCTGCTGTTCTCTGCACCCGTTTCCTCTCCTGTTCTCTGCACCCGTTTCCTCTCCTGTTCTCTGCACCCGTTTCCTCTGCTGTTCTCTGCGCCCGTTTCCTCTGCTGTTCTCTGCGCCCGTTTCACCTGCTCTTCTCTGCACCCCTTTCCTCTGCTGTTCTCCGCACCCTCTACTGTTCCCTGCAACCTCTTCTGTTCTCTGCATCCCTCCATTGTCTGCTGCACCCCTCTCATTCACTGTTCTCTGCCTGCAATGCTCCTCACGCTGCTGCTCACTGCAGGAGTACTACGCCTACGATGGGGAGGTGCTATGGGAATATGAGTTCCTCGACCTCCTGCACATCTCATCCGATCTCGTCCCCACTCTAGATCACTCTCGATTGGACGCTGTGACACCTGTCAGTACGCACAGCTGATGTGGCACCACACCTGATTTGGTTCAGCTTTAATAGCCTACAGCAGGTCTTATCCTCTGCAGTTTATCTCGATCGTGTCTTTACTTGAATTAATATACTTGTTTTGCTATGTGTTGTTTATCCAAAATCTGTAAATATGAATGTTAGTGCCGTATGTCATTTGTCCATTATAAAAACATGTTAAGCAAGTGGCTTTCTATCTAGCCCAACTTTTGAGGTCTAAGGGAATGCCAAATCTTGCTTCCTATTACCACTTGTTTTCTGTCCAACCAAATTCTGCTCTGCATATTGTGTTGCTTCACATTCGAGATGTGCCTAGGCATCACGTGGCATGCCTATCGGTCCAATTAGAGCCATGTTGCAACTAGACCTGCATCAAGAAGGGCAAGTGGGGAGTATGCATTGTTGGAAACAAGTAACTTAAGCGCCTTTGTCGTGTCGAAACACCAAGTCAGAAGCGAAGCGAAACATATCGAAACATCAGCGAGTCAACCCTCGGAGGTTGAACAACTGCTGGAGGTTACGCGAAAGTCAAAGGTCAGCGACCTTTGACCTGACAAGTACAGCGCGACAGCAAGCACAGACAACTGACTCGCTATTGAGCAGTTACCCGAATCGTCACTGTATTGAACCGCAACAGCAACAGCAAAACAGTTATTAGTTATAGCCCTTCATATTCCCTTGTACTCTTATAAAAGCTTGTGTCCTTTTGTTTTAATCAATCTACTTTGCCCTCACATACCAGTGCAAGGTGGTTCACAAAATCTTTCATTAAACGCTTCCGCTGTTACATCAATCCTACCAGGAGTTTAGTCCTGCAAAGATCCTAAGGGCTTTCTGTCAAACTTATATGTTATAGTCTGTGTAGGGTGTAGTGGGGTAGACAATATGGGGTACAACACTTTTAGGTTTTCCTACTTGTACCCACCTGTTTCCTAGTGCACTCATTCCTCATTTCTTCACATGGAATAGAGCAGGTTCCCTAGTGGGAACGCTTCCTAGAGCCCACCACTGAAAATCGATTATATTTTTTCCTGGCCGTAGCGCGAGTCGCCCCTGCCCGAGACGCGCCCCGTGGGCCGCCCTCTCGTTGCGTCCCCTGCCCTTAGCGGCCCGTCGCGCCCTCCTAGAGGCCCCTATCACGGCCCCTCGCGCCACCCCTAGCGGCCTCGACGCCGCCCTTTGCGGCCCGTCGCCGCCCCTCGCGGCCCCGTCGCCACCCCTAGCGGCCCCGTCGCCACCCTTCGCGGCCCCGTCGCCGCCCCTCGCGGCCCCGGTTCCGCCCCTCGCAGCCCCGTCGCCGCCCGTTACGGCCCCGTCGCCACCCTTCGCGGCCCCGTCGCCGCCCCTCGCGGCCCCGTCGCCGCCCGTTGCGGCCCCGTCGCCGCCCTTCGCGGCTTCGTCGCCGCCCTTCGCGGCCCCGTCGCCGCCCGTTGCGGCCCCGTCCCCGCTCTTCTCGGCCCCTCGTGGCCCCTTAGTGGCCCCTTCGCCGCCCTACGCGGCCCCTCCCCGGTCCCAGCAACAGCAGCGGCCACCGACTGCAGCCGCCTCGGCTGCCGATCGCCGCTGCCGTTGCCGCCGCCGCTGCCGCTCCTGAAGCCACAACCGCCACCACCGCAGCTGAGACAGCAGCCGCCGCAGCAGCCACAGCCGAGGCCCCGGTCGCCGCGGCCGTTGACTACAGCAGCAGCCGCCATAACTGTCGAGCCGCAGCCGCCGCCACTGTTGCGGCCCTGTCCCTACCGGCGCGCCTCGGCCCTGCCTCACCACCTGCGGGCCTCTACCTACCCGCCCTGGTAAGAGCACTCCTGAGCACCGCCTCGACCACTGCCCTGCTCTTACTGCTAGCCTGCTGCTGCCACTGCTGCCATGGCTGCTCCTAATGTTCTCACTTTTGATGCTGAGGGTCGAGCTGTCGACTTTGAGGTCTGGGTCGATGACCTACAGCTTTTCCTATAGTGCGATAGGACAGATGGTCTCTCCCTGTTCGATCTCACCTCTGCTGCCTCTCCTGCCCCTCGTGCCGATGCTGACAGCACTGTTCTCTCACAGTGGGCCACACGTGATGCTGCTGCCCGTCTTGCTGTTCGTAGTCACTTGCCGTCCTCTGAGCGCACGCACTTTGGTTTGTATAAGAGCGCTAAGACCCTGTACGACGCTGTAGTTGCACGCTACTCTTCCCCTGCCACTGCTGCTCTTAGTCGCCTCATGGTGCTGTACGTGTTCCCTTACCTCGCCGCCTTTTCCACAGTCGCTCACCTAGTTACGCACCTTCGCACTAGTGACACTCGCTACCGCGCTGCGCTCCCTGCTGACGAGGTTCCCCACCTGGGGCGAACATCGTCAGTGGCATGTGGATCTTCAGGGTGAAGCGGCCGCCGGGTTCTGCGCCTGTCTCCAAGGCGCGTTACGTGGCTCGTGGCTTCTGTCAGCGGCAGGGAGTTGACTACTTTCAGACCTTCTCTCCCACCCCAAAGATAACCACTCTTTGGGTGCTGCTGCACATAGCCGCTCAGCGCGACTACGAGCTTCACTCTCCTGACTTCAGCACAGCTTTCCTGCAGGGCAGCCTGCACGAGGAGATCTGGCTGTGCCGCCCACCTGGCTTCACTGGGTCGTTTCCTCCTAGTACCCAGTGGAGCCTCCAGCGGCCAGTCTACGGTCTCCGCCAGGCGCCTCGTGAGTGGCACGACACACTGAGGACTACACTTGCGGCTCTTGGGTTTGCTCCTTCTACAGCCGACCCGTCGCTGTTTCTACGCACCGACACCTCTTTGCCGCCGTTCTACATCCTCGTGTACGTCAACGACTTGGTCTTTGCCATTGCTGACACTGCTAGACTCGCCCACGTGAAGTCCGAGTTGCAGAAGAGACACACGTGCACAGACCTGGGTGAACTGCGCAGCTACCTTGGCTTGCAAATCACCCGGGACACAGCACAGCGCACCATTACCCTGACTAAGTCACACATGGTGCAGCAGGTCCTTCAGCTCTTCGACTTCACGTACTCCTTGCCTCGGGCCACTGCTCTGTCTACTCGCCACTCGCTCTCAGCTCTGCCTTCTGATGAGTCCGTAGAGCCGAGTGGCCCGTACCCAGAGCTTGTTGGCTGCCTCATGTACCTGATGACCTGCATTCGACCTGACCTTGCATACCCTCTTAGCATCTTGGCACACTATGTTGCTCCTAGGAGACACCGACCAGAGCACATGGCTGCAGCGAAGAGGGTGTTGCGCTACTTGTGCAGTACGTCGGGCATGGGGATAGTGCTTGGAGGGCGTCGTTTAGTGGTCCTCACCGGTCACGCTGACGCTTCTTGGGCTGACGACCAGGCTATGCAGCGGTCGTCACAGGGTTACACCTTGTGCCTTGGTTCCGGCTCTGTTTCGTGGTTGTCTACCTGCTCGTCTTCTAATCTCGGCTCTAGCTGTGAGGCTGAGATCTACGCGGGGGCCATGGCTCCACAGGAACTACGCTGGCTCATCTACTTGCTGACTGACCTAGGAGAGCCGCCTCGTTCTCCTTCAGTTCTGTACGTAGACAATAAGGCCATGCTGGCCTTGTCTCGGGAGCACAGACTGGAGCACAGAACGAAGCACATTGCTCTTCGCTACTTTCTTGCTGATGATCATGCAGCAGCGTGGTCAGCTGCGCCTTGCTTACGTGGCCTCTCGGCCCAACAGTGCTAATATCTTACCAAGGCACTTCCGTCTTGTAATCATCAGCACTTCTGTACGATGCTAGGTCTTGTGCCTACTTGGCCTCACTTGCTCACTTCTTGACCTTTCTTGTACTTTGATCTATCTATACTTGCACTTGCTTGTTTGCCTTTATATATGATCTTGCATGCAAACTGGCCTTGTGGCCTTGAACTTGTGCTCGAAATGTGTGGTGACGTTGTGATCCACCCTGAGCTTACTGTGCTTTGCTTGACTAGTGTGGTGACCTCTTGTTCTCCCCCACTTTGCCTATGGGGGTGTGTCAAACTTATATATTATAGGTTGTGTAGTCTGTAGTGGGGTAGACAATATGGGGTACAACACTTCTAGGTTTTCCTTCTTTTACCCACCTGTTTCCTCGTACACCCATTCCTCATTTCTTCACACTTTCTCAGCCCAATATGGTATCAGAGCAGTTAGGACAAATTCCACTATCAAGACACCTACAACATCAGAAAGCATGGCTACGCAGAAGGAAAGATGTTCCTCTAATGGTTCTCCTGGCACTACCCCTACTCCACCTTCTGCCTCTGGCCTACAGAGAGAGCAGGGCACGGCGACAAGACCAGCGGCAGGGTCCACTCAAACTCCTGAGAATAAACCTGCAGACTTCGACCAGAACATGATGGAGAAGTTCTTGTCCTTCATGTCCTTCTACGAGCAACACCAGCAGTCGGCACCTGCGCAGTCAAACAACAGCAACGACAACAACGACGTGACGCCCATGAGTCTCGACGGCTCATCCTACGCACGCGGAAACCAATAGCAGCAGCCTACCTTTGCTCCGTACGAGCCCCAACGCGGGTCCATGAGCTTTATGCCAGACTCGCAACCTGCACCTGGACAAGAGAAGAAACTGGACGCACTTCAAGTTTAGTCGCAGTTCGCGCACATCTTAAAACTGCAAACGTCAAGGCCTGATGACAAGCAAGCATATCATGGGCTTCTTTACCTGGTCATACGAGTTCGAGCTGATGATGGAAGATCCTTGGCTTCTTCGACGGGTCCCTGCCATATCCAACACACGGCACACAGTACGACAAGCAGCAGTACATGATGGCGTACACAATACTACTGAGAAACATCACTTCGAATCAGCAGCAGAATATACGGTCTTACCGGGGATATGGCAACTCTGCAGAGCTTGCGTACAACCACCTGAAGAACCTGTATCAAGCAACAGACAGCCTGAATCAAAGTCAGTTAATGGTGCAACTGACAATAGTTGAAATGAAATCGGGCAAAAGGGGGATGGCGTATATGAGTCGCTGTCGCGAATTG